CTAGAGCGATTCAAAGAAGATGAACTATTGACGTGGAAGTTACAGTATAGGGCCTGTGGAGGAAACATGTTATGCAAATACAAACAAATTGATTGATAAAATTCACAGATTTAAGATACAAACAATATAAAAGTAATGAAAATAAACATATTTACAGAATATGTGCAAAGTGGTAGTAAAGTTCTTTCCTGCTTTGTTCGGATTTATAAAGTCTTTAACTTCGTTAAAAATCTTGGAGCAGTGGATTACTTGGACAGATTATTAAGGACTACTAACTAGTAGTACTATGTAGTATGTATACGACTACTAGTACTATGTAGACTGGTACTTCATTGAATTATCAAAAATCGTGCGAAGTTCCTTGAATGGTTGTTCAACTGTGATATCATAATTTGCCAATTTGGCAATATAAGAGTAATACAAGTTCTTCGCTCTGGTGAATGCGTAGTATGATTACAGTGACAAAATAACATTTTCCTTTTGGCTAAGAACCATACGCAACTAATTTTAGAATAGAGAGGAGAGTGCCCAAATTAAAAAGATGAATAAAGGGGATATTACTAATTTAATGTACAATTCACAGTATTCATGTATAATGTATAATTCACAGTATTCATGTATAATGTATAATTCACAGTATTCATGTATAATGTATAATTCACAGTATTCATGTATAATGTATAATTCACAGTATTCATGTATAATGTATAATTCACAGTATTCATGTATAATGTATAATTCACAGTATTCATATTGTAAGGTTCCTCACTTGAAATTCTAAGTTAATGTTGGAAGTGAGGAACCTAGGAACTGATAAGCGAATAATCGCTAGAGTTCGAAGACAGGAAACAACAAGAGAGAAGGGTAAATAACCCTTTATTATTTCTATAAGATTTAACAAAACTCCGCCTGGGAGTGAACAAATAAAGTCCGCGCTTTGGACTTGAACTTAAAAGACTAAGAATTAAACTAAACTAAGATTAACTAACTAAGTAAGCTATCAAGATTCAATGAGAGTTGGCCCCTTAACCTATTTTACTACGAAGCTTAGCAAGGGCCTGAGTACGGCCGAGCGTAAAACACCTTTGAGAGAGAGAGCGGCCAAAAAGGCAGACGCGCGTAGTTCAGAAACTCTGTTTCTCTCTCTCTCTCTCAGTAAGTAACTTCGTGGTTTAAATACAGCTCCTTCTCATTAAATATTCAGCAAATTCCAAAACTACGTTCTGGCCGGAAGTAGTAAGTTGAAGTTAAGAATTTGACAGGAAAGGAACTTTAACTTAAAATTTAACTGTTAATAAAATTAACATAATCCTTACAATGTATAATTTAATGTATAATTCACGGTATTCATGTATAATTTAATGTATAATTCACAGTATTCGTGTATAATTTAATGTATAATTCATAGCTCACAATATTAATCTGGGCGAGCCAGCGTGATCACACACTACAGTTAGTTTCCAGAGCACATAGTGAAATTCATACAATGGGAGATATACCGAAGTCACACAGACCGGTCTACAGGCTTGCTGTAGTAGTCATTCCTTGCAAAATGAAGAAGTACCAGTAAGAAATTTCCTTTATGGTTACACTGACGATATCCTGCTGCCACAGGTGCTTCAATTTTATCTCACATTTATTTTTCAATAGTGAATGTGCTATAATCTGGCATTTATTTGGAAATCTAGATCAAACTATGCAAGCATAGTTTTCCTGAATTTAGACTTCAGCAATTTTTATACTACACATTTATGAATAATAAATAATAATTTATTATTCAGATAAATAATAAATATTAATTTCTAGATTAATACAAACCGCATTTCATTTAGATGCTTTTGGTCTCCTGTGTTTACAGCATTTATTTTCAGTAAAGATTTGTTTTTGTTTAGCTATGCAATTGAGCAAGTTTTCAGGCTGAAGAATGGATACATGTATATACGGATGGCTATTTGACAAAAAGAATTCAGGGGGCTAGAGCTAGAGGTTTTAGCAAGCTTTTCAGTTTCTACGTACCTGTAGCGGCTTACTCCACTCACTTTGATGGAGAACTGAAAGCCATTCATGTAGCTCACTAACAATTATTATTGAGACAGAGCTCGGTCAGGAGGGCTGTTGTACTGTCTGATTCGACTTTAGCAATACATGCCATTTCCTCTTACCAAGAGTGTAAGAACATATGCGTTCAACAGTGTCAGGAAGTCATAAAAGAACTTTCACATAAGATATCTTTTTAATGGGTACCTTTACACTACGATATTTATGGGAATGAGATGGCTGATATGCTTGCGAAAAAGGGGCCTACGGTTCTCCAGAAGCCAAAAACGAGTGCAAGCCTCCATTCTATTAAGCTTCTGACATCGATAACATAGCAAAAGACTTTTAGAGATTTTGCCACTCGGGCTTGTGAGGGGAAGCCTTGGCGTGTTCTCTCAACAAACCCAGCTTTTGTTCCTGACCACTCTCGAACAGTTGCGGTTGCATCTTTTAGACTATTGACGGGACACGACTGTCTACAGAATCATTTATTTCGCATTGGACTAGCTGATTTGTCGTTATGCGTTTTATGTAATAGTAGGCAGCCAATGACAGCGGAACATTTGGAAGAGTGTGAAGCACTGACAAATGTTTCTTGTAGATTTCTGCGCTATTAGCAGGCAAGGAGTTTAATGGCCTAACGGCCAATGTAACTGGCATTTGACAAATAAAAATGTTTAGCTATAAATTACTAAAAGTTATGTATATGTGTTCTTAATAAAATTTAAAAAATGGTTTATTTTTTTCCACAGTCTTGTATAGGAAATTACTGTAGTTTTTATGAACCTGTATGTATCGATGAAATATACATGAAATTAAGTGGTATCTTACACAAAGCATTCTTATTCCTTATTTCCAAGATGAGATATATACAGTAGACCTCCTACTCTGAGAACAGAAAAAAGGGAGGAAGAGGAATACCCATATTGTAAATTAACAGAAAAACACTACTAATGATTTTGCTGCACTATGCAGTAGTTTTATTTGCAGAATAAGTTCACTTTAATGAAAATTAAATCAGCATTCGAATCACAAAGAACAATGTTTTTCTTTATAGTACTCTTGTATTTCAACAGAAATCGATGTAAGAACAGAAGACGAATAATGTTTATATATTCCAGATTAGGCTATTTAAATTATGCACTGCTGTGGATAAGAACTCTTTCTAAATCATCTGCTACCACCGCTATTATCCGTATAAAATTTGCTTTATTCTGATGTTTCGTACTAATAATTTTTCACTCGTACTGCAATAAAATATCTTAACTACTTTTTAAACAAAGTCAGGTTAATCGGGAGTTGACTATAGTTTCATCCTTTATTACATTATCGTTGTTTTTAAAGGAACAAATTTTAGAAGTCTTTTTATATTGTTATTACTAACAGAACACCTTGATATGTGCCTTTTATTGAATAAGGTAATACAGAATTATATTAAAACAGATCTATATAATACAATTTTTAGAAGATTTTAATCAAGCCCAACTATTATTAACTAATTTTTTAAAGCATTCAAGAATAATACCTAGAAATAAAGAAATATCTTATAATCAAGAGCACCTGTTCTTCTCTTCACAAGAGCTTTCAACCAAAGATGTAATCTGCCAACTAAAATAATCTCTAATTGCAAAATTTTGAGTTTTATGTGGCATTAAGTATTTAATCAAAAAACCGGTTTTATTTGGACAACTAAAGTTTTGCGGCATGTTTCTTTTCCCAAATAAAAAACCTATTCAAACTTTTCTGACATATCAGTTTGTTAGTAAAACTTTACACATCCTTGTATTAAATTTATTGCAAAAAATACAAATTCGTGATTTTGATATGGTATCGACAGTCTAGAAATCTGCCAAATTTTAGCGATACAATCAACAACAGTAAATCTGCTTCTCAATAAGATGGCTTTTGTATGCTCACACGCACAGATTACCTCCATGGGGTAGCACAATTTTAAATTTAGAAAAGTTATTCAGGGATTAAATTCGTTTTGAATGTTCTGCGAGCCCACCAGCGGCCGAGCGGTAAAGACGCTGAACACTGGTAGTTCGGTCCGAGGTTCGAATCCCGCGAACGGGCTGGCTGCATGGGCGTTTTCGTGGTTTTCCCCATGTGTAACGTGTATACGAGCCAGTTTCCCTTAGAAAGTCCTCCACGAAAGGCATCCCTCCCCTTAGGCAGATAGCCCTAGTGTGCTTTGCCATAATTAAATACACCACACCTTTGAATGTTCTGCAGCCATCGGAAAGTGACGCTATGTCACTTACAAAATATTTTCTGCTATTTTGTAAATCTAGCAGAAGTTGCAGCTTAAATCAAAGTTCGATTTGCATTTTGGAACAGGATTACTTCCAATCTATTGTTTGCTTAATTTCAAACAAAAAATAACATTGGTATTATTGAAATGTGTAAAAATCGACCAACTGGAGCAAAAGTTAAAAAAACAGAAAGAAATAATTTGAGATTCGCAAGTTCGACATCTTCAGAAGAATTCTTTATTTGAGATATCACAGAAAATTCACTAAAATTTGCGAAATTAATCGTGGATATTCGATCTGAGATAAAATTACTTCTTTAAAGGTAATATGTATTGAGAAAGACTGCATTACAGAAGTAGATAACGAAGAATCAACATTTTTTTGGGCAAACAATTCACATCGTAAGCTAATATTAAGTCTTTAATTAATTCTTCTATTTAATTAATTCCTTATGCAGATAGTGCAGGGATGTATTTAGCACAAGTCGGTTAAATAATTTATTCTTTATTAACTGATGGTTTGTGACCATAACATTTATATTTACTCATTATGTTTGGAAAAGCAGTTTTTGTGTTTCTTTACGTAATAGGAAAAAAAAGAAGAAAAGTGGTCATTTGTACCACACCTCTTCCTGTTCTTCTAAGGACAGTTTAACAGTTTCAGGCGGTTTAACCTTGACGATGAACTATATTCATATCATCGTAATGTTTTTTTTTTTTTTTTGTTCATTCTCTTGAAATTTTGAGTATAAAAGAAGGCGATTCGACGCTGAAAATTATATCTTCTTGTCTCCTGCAGCGAGTAAGAAAATCTCAACTTCACCATGCATTACTTAGTAAGTATAAATCGTCTATTATACTCGTACTTTGAAAATTGCTAGAAATTGCGAAACTTAATATAAAGCTTCATACAGAAATTTAAAAAAATATAAATTAATCAATGCAGCAAATTAGAATACAAAATATAAGCCTAGGATACATTATATCCCCTGACTTATTGCTTCAGTTGTTTAAGTTATATTTAAACAAAATATAAGATATGTTTTTTTTTTTTTTTTAAATTTATAACTTTGTTTTAATTACAGTTCATGAAGCTTTTTGCATCTTGAATCTTAGATAGTGTTCAAGCTTTCAACCATATCGACGTTTACCTGTAATTGGAGAATGCTCCTGGCATAATTAAAAATAAAATAAGCGCATAAGCCCACTGAAATCAGAGAAACGTTTGGGCTGTTCGAGGTAGTCAACGATTTAGTCTTGAGTAACAGAAGTACTATTCAAAACTACAGAATGGCTATGTACTCTATACACCAACATAATTATTGATTAATATGCCAAACTGTAGTGAATTATTTGTGGTGTTTTAAGCACATGTTCTACCTTAAGTTTATTATCTGCATGCTAAACAATGTGGTTACAGATTGAAGACATAATCTTTCTGAAAACGTTATGCGTGTTTGAAAGAATAAAATCTTGTGCATGATGCTCTTTTAGAACTTCATGTAAGTTTTGGTTTCTGATAAACCATGGAGCATTTGTGATGATTTTAAAACCTTATTCTGAAAAATCATTAGGTTTTTTCCTGTCAGTTTTTAAAATCATAGCCTGTTCAGAATTCATATAATATCAAACAGAATAAGACATGAATCTCTTTTGTAGATCTAAACAATACACTAAAATACAATTGCCATCAGATAAAACTAAATTTTTACTCTTAAATGTGATGAAAACACAACTCAGAAAATGATTTTCAATTTTGCAATCCCGGCTTACTGCTGCATCTGGTTTTTGAATCTAATATAGATTAAAGCGGAAAATATCAAAATATTAAAATTTTTTAAGATATTAAAAGCAAAACTTCATCATTATAATCAAATTTTATTTTGAATATTTTAAGTATACGATAAATAGAACTAAAAATTGTGAGACCGGCATGTCATATGGTGCTTTTTGAAATTTATTATTATAATGCACTAAAATAGAACTTACTGCGTGACATCATCATTAAAAGTTAAGGATTAAATTACTTTTAAAGAATTCGCTTTGTTGCATTGAAAATCATCGCATTTCACAGATGATGAAGAAGTTATTAAACTTTGTTTTGCAACATATTCTCATCATTATGAGGGATGCAAAATAATAATAGCTTAAGATGTTTAATTTTTGAATGTATTAAATGTAGTCAAATAAGAAAATTCTCATAAATTCCACATTTCATGTTCGGTAAAAGTTCTATACGGTCTATAACGTATAGAATTATACGGTCTTGTTGTATAAATCAACAATTTTCTATTTTTTATTTCCAGTTCGCTATCCTTGTCTTGGTGGCCCTGATGGCAGTGGCTTTCGCTCAGTTCCCATACTATGGTACCTATTACAACACTCATGCCCTTGCTTACCCCTATGCCTATAACTATGGCCTCTACAACCCAGCTTTCAGCTACTTGTGGAAGAAATGAATGTAAGTTTTAACCTTTTCTGTAGAAAATTATTACTGTTTTATACATTCACTGCAGTTGAAATTTATCAGTGTATTAAGTCAAACTATAGCACATTTGAATGAAACTCATTTCGGCTCTTTCCTCATAGCAAATCTGATTATAAGCATAAATATAGGATACAGTTTATTGTATTTTTAAAGTAAGACGGATAGGTTTGTCCCAAGGGATATTTTTTATATTGTGTTTTCCTTCATCCTTTCATAAGACAATTTTCAAGAACGGGTTAATAAAACAAAATGTTTAAACTGGTACAAATAACCAAGCCTTTGCAAATTAACTGAATAAGCAGCAAAAGGACTTCCTTAAAATACATGGTTTTGTTTAGCTGATATCCTTCCTGCGCAAGTTTAAGTATTTGGGTATGGTGCTAGAAATATCATTCTACTCATGGTTGGGTGGTATGATTTTTATTTCTTGCTAATTAATTAGATGTTGAAATCTCAGTTCAAGCTTGTCTAATAAATGATGATAGTTCAAACTTAGCTTTCCTCTCCAGATTCTTATAGGAAAAAAATCTCGCATAAAATTTACACAGCATATTAAATGAAATTTAACAGTGATAGGTGTTAGCGGGGATGTGTAAAACAAAACACATCAATTAAGCTTAAAAAAGATTAAATTATAATATTACCAAAAGCGCAAATATAGCATTGAAACATAGAGACAAATCCAAACAATCAACTATGCCATTAAACTACACTGAAAGCAAATTACGTGATGTGCTTCATTAAAGTATTCTTACGTAATAGTATCATTATTTTCTTAGATGGAGTCAATTTCTTAGTTAGATTTAAATTTTTAGTCGTTATGAAAATCTCTTCAAGATTTTCCGCAACTAAAAATTTCCAAGGTATAGTCCATTACGTTATCAAATTTGACAAAGAACCCAATTATTTTATTAATAGTTACTATATTTGTTTTCAAATTTAATATAAAAACTTCAGATGTTATTCCTACAATAAATTAAACGAAAGTTCTAAAGCATTTCCTTGAAATTTGCATGTGAGTAAAAAAATAATAATTCTTGAAATATTTTTATGATTTTTAAAATAAGCTGCAGAAAAAAACATATTTGACTAAATAAATGTGATATTTACTTTTCATATGTATTTAAAGGCGTAATACATTATTAAGGAGAAGTATTTTATTATGATTAAAACTTGATAACCTAAATAAAACATTCTATTTTGACCTTCTGTTTGAAAGCTATTTTCTTCACAATTATTAATGCTTAACTATTTATCTTAAATAGTCTACGTTATTCTCTTCAAACAAAAATCTTGCCGTTAGCATAAAACGCACGAAATTTTAAAACGTTTTAGTGACAACAAAATATAATTGCAGTAAAGAATTTTAAAATAGAGTATAGATGTGAAAGGCAACAGTGTATTCTTTCGTAAACTCGCTCCATTTGTTTGGCTTATTAAAGTGTAAAATTACGGATCATTTCAAAATATAGTGAAAACCCAAAGAGAAGCAATTTAAGAATATTGATCAGTGTGCTAGAAGTTGGAAAGAAAGTGTAACTTTCGATTATACTGCTTTTCTATGATTCGAAAATCTAAAAATAGGTGGATAGATTCAATATTTTTGCAAAAACAACTCTGGCTTGAAAGAAATTAAAAATTATGAAAACCTTGACTTACTACAGCTTCCCAAAATATTTTCATTACCAATAAATATATATGATCTCTATAACAATTGTATCACTTATTTCCTCTTTTCAGGTAGCAAATAAGAAAACTCTGGAATGAAGTACGATGATGAACTAAGTCGAAGATGATGGAAACATCTGAAGTCCTTTTACCTTTACTTCTTCAAATTCTCAGATATTTTCCTGTTTCCAATTCTAAAATAAAAGAAAAGCGAAGTTCATGATTTGTGTTTCTTGTTTGCTTTTTTTAGCCGTTTCAAACAATTTTACATACAATTCTTATTGTGAGCTGAATCAGCAAATGTTTGCTAAATGATTTTTATGTAATTACAGATTTTGCTCAGTAGATTTACAATATTTTAATAAATAATTTCCAATGAAAACATTTAAAATACTTAGCCATATTAAAATCCCTGCCTAGTTTTATGTAATGTATCATGCCCTGATATACGTACAACAATGCGCAAAAAACATCGCTATCTGAAAATTTCATATTACAATTGGATATTTCGAAGAAGTCTTTGATAAAATAAATTTATATATTTAAAATACAGTGTATACAAAATTTCTCTTAAGTAAAATTAGCATTATTCTGTCAATTCATGGAATGAAACCGTATTCGAACAGTAGCATCTCGCTTTAGTATAGTTTATGCTTCGTTGGAGTAATGTTTGACGTCTGCTGTACACTATTGGTGATGCCTCATGAGATTGGCGACCAAGGACATTATCAGAAAGGAGAAGGAATTTACGAGCTACAGATCTGTAAAATAAATTTCTTCATCTTTTTATCCGAATCCTTTGGTTTCTCAGAAACAAGAATCTGCATAAAGATTTAAAGATTGATTAAGGATTGCCTCAATAAGATAAATGAAAATTTCTTCCCTAATGCCGAAAAAAATATAATGAAATCTGAAACTATGAAATTATTCCTGAAGGCTACGTTTTTAGATCTTACTCAGCACATCTATTCAACATGCTAGTTCTATATAGGTAATTGTTTGTTTGCATCATCATCTCTCCTGCACAATTTTTAAATGAAGGAATATTTCCTTCTTCCTTTTACCTGTTTTCAATTTCATACCACTCCTTCCCATGTAAACTTTAGTTCAGTGGATAGCTCCATGGTCATCGATAGTGGGCGGTATTGAAGAGGCTCAAATCAACGGTTCGAGTCTATCTGATTTTTCGCCTTGTCATAAAAGCTCGTTCAAGTTTCTGTTCTGCGTCGTTAATCAGTTGCACTTTTTTCTGCATTTGGGTCTCTATAATATTTAAAAAAATGAAATTGTAAAGTTCTGTATTGCCAATTTTTGAAAAACATTGCTGTGAGGCTGAAATAACTGTTTAATTCGTATATGATTGCTCTGTTGTGGTTCCGATGGACAAAGGCACATGAGCCGGCTATGTAATCGGCAGAAGATCAGCTTCAGAGATAAGTGTTGGTCGCAGTTGAAATCTAAAGACCCTGGAGATTTTTTAAAAATCTAGGTGCCCTTGTTTAGTAGTGTAAATGTAATTACAATTTCTCCATTAACTCCCGATAAGGCATCTTTAGGGGTCCTACAGAAAGCGTTGTCTCTAGACAGTGGAGATACTGCTTACCACTGGTAGCCACAAAGTGTTCCCCCCATTCGTTACCTATCTGTTTACCTATAGTGGTTATAGACTTTTTGGAAGTGCTCTAAAATTTATATTTCCGAAAATAAAAATGAATGTAAACATTCTTACTCGTTTTTAACTATATAATATTTTATACATGTTTGAATGAGTTGGGTTGATAATGTAGTTATTTTCAATAACACAGAAAGAACTTTTTTACTTCCGAAATGTTTATGCAGTTGAAACTAATGTTTTAGAAAACCGTACTGTCTCATCATAGAGCTGCACGCAATCCGGAAAATGAAATGGTACACGTAGCCCATTGATGCCATAAACGCACTCATCTTATTTAAATGTTCTTAAATATCCCGATGAGATTAATAGAAGCCTATAGAAAAGGGGTGGCTACTATCAGTATTTGCTGCAATGTGATAATCGAAATTTTTGAGGGAGGAACATGCAAAATAAATAATCAGTTTTGCGTACCTTGCCTTTAGAACTTAGTCGCAGGAAACCGTAACTCGTAGTCTTCAACAGATGAAGTCCCAACAACTCGTAGTCTTCAAGAACTATTTGCATAAAAGCCCTTACACCTAAAGCCAATTAATATTTTTCTGAAATATTTAATTAACAACATTTACTAATTATTGATTATAATAACACATTACAAAACTATGTATGTTAGATTAAAAATAAATGAAAAGATATAATCTGGTTTATGCTTGAAAGACCTTCAAGAATACAAATAGCTGCGAGAGTTATTTAAGCAAACACTTTATTCTTAAAAATTAGCAGAAACATCATAGACTCTTATTTCATGATACATATGTTAAATATTATGCCATTCTAAACTGTTCTACATATTAAGTATTCACTTAGCCAAATACAAAGATAGCAGCGTGATGATAAATAATGACCATGAAATGTGCATATTAAATATTCACGTAGGGAAGAATTTTAGAAAATTATCAGTCTCTTTTTACACGCCTACAATTAGTATTCGGTTGTAAAAAATATGTTTTAGGTAAAGGGATAGATATATACGATAATGTAGCATAAGAATTTTTTTTTCTGTTTAATGGTTTCAATTAAAATATTTATTTTTTCGGTTATCTCTAATAGAATACTTTGCCTTTTCTGCATGTCTGGGTAAACATATAAAAACTGAAAAGTGACTTCTGTCATACCTTATCTTTTCTTCTGGGGAAAACTTCGCATTTTAATGATGTTTAACCTTGACGTTGAACTGCTCAAGTAAAATATTTTGAAAGTAAGTAGATTTCCACATGCGCAATATATTCGAAAGAAATCAAGGTTTTCATTCGCATTTGATAAATGAATGATGTTGCCACAAGTATCAAGATTCCTAAATCATTGGCACACTACATTTTTATGTCATAAAACACGGAAATTTCAACCAGATAGTTGTGAAACTTATTTCGGAAAAAAGTATTCTTTGAATTCCACATATTATGTTAAACAAAAATAAATTCATAAATTAAAATGCCTTCAGCTTTTATATTATGAGCAAATACACAAAATCATATGAATTGATTTACAAGGAAATTTCAGACTAGTGTTGATCCTCTAGTTGCTCGTCGCAGTTGACGACGGAAGTATTCTATAAGTGCTGAGATCCAAAGGCACTTTAACAGTAATTTACATATCTGTTAGATGAGATGGTAGTAGATGCAGAAACAGTTCGTTCCTCAAACTACTAGATGACTTGTTAACATCATATATGGGGATCTTGGAGGACAACATAAGATTTTAAATTCTATATAATTTTCTTAAGCCAAGCTGGACGAAATGACCAAATAGAAGGACCGTTGCTTTGCTGAAAGTTTCCATAGCCACCAAGACAGTCGATTTGAAAAGGAGCAAGTTTTCAGTTAATACTTGCACATAGTTTGCATCAATAAAGAGGTTTTCCAGACGCATGGGATGGCCTCAAGGAAATTCAACTGAAAGTACTTCATATCATCAGAGATAAATTATTGGCCTTATTCTACAGTAATTACAACTTATGATTTCTGAAAACTCGAAATTCTCGTCAGGATGAAATACTATAGCGACTTATTAGACCGATCAATATTAAGCATATCTGGATAATGTCCTGTAATGGCGTTTTGTCACTGGAGAGAAACTGGTGGGTTGTCGCTTCATTGACGCAATCAAGTGTACATTCTCTTAGATATCTCGATGTCAGATATAATGAAAAGAACATTGACCTGTAGTCTTGCTGATAGGCGTTTCAGTATCAAAAGCGTAGCCAGCTATTTTAAGTAGCTCTTTTCGCTTAATACGCATAGGTGAGACTAGGTAATAGATGTCACAAATTTTGATGAGAGATTTTTAGACAAATGAACTTAGCTAATGGTTATCATTCTGGGATTTATGTGATATATTTCCACTGTGTATATATTTTCCACTGTAAAGCAAGAAATCCTCAGTACATTAGCCGTTTGTGAGTATGAATGATTAGCGGACTTGCCGTGTGTGTGTTAGACATGCTAAAAGTCCTTTAAAGTACTATTCCTACTTCCTATTTACGGATATGTTGCAAATTTTAGGTCCAGTGTAACGCTTAATGAACAATTATTTTTGTATCTTTTAGAGAGTAAAACACAATTGGTAATTTGAAGCACAAGTACCTACCTCAATTCATTTGGTAGCATAGTGTATTACATAATATGAAGATGCTGAATTTTAATTTGGACATTTCATTACCTTTATTTAACACTAATTTTATACACTTCAAAATATTAACATGCTATTTTCCATATTTTCTTTATTATGTTCTATGGAAATAATTATGATGCAAGTTAAATTTGTAGTTTTTCTCTTTTCTTAGACTTTCGTAGTAATAGTAGAATTTATATTATTTTATATATGTTGACATGAACTCGAATTTATAGGTTATTTCTTCTGTGCAATTTTAAATTTGTGAGTTATGCAGGATTATTCTAGTTCCATGTCATATTTCAGCAATTTTTTATTAATAGCATAAAATGTCCTTCTCCAACAGATTTATTAGATTAAATGAAATGGAATTTTTTGCCGAATTAATCAAGAATTTTTAATTTCTCTTTGCAGAGTTTAATACCTATTTTTTATTTTTATTTTTCCTTAGTTGGCTATCATTATTTTGATTGCTCTTATAGCAGTCGCTTTCGCCCAGTGGCCTTATTATGGTACTACTAACGCACTCAAGCCGTGGGTTATCCTTATTCTACAGCTACTTGTGGAAGAAATGAAAATTAATTCCTCCGTTCTTCGGTATCCTTCTTTTTATGTATATTTTATATTCCAGATATCTTAGTTTCACTTGCATATGAATTTCTGTAATTAAATATTCTGTTTCGATAGATAGTTAATTACTCTTTTTATAATCCTAATTTTATTTTATTTTTATGGTTTAGCTAATAGAGTTTATAAATTTTCTCTTCTATTTTTTTTCAGTATATAAATAGAACAAAGAGTCGTTCGTTTTTATTTCATTTGAGTGTCGAGAAAATTAGAAATCAGCAGGAAGATAAATAAAAAATGTTTCAATGCATATAAAAACTAGATACACGCTGTTTTCAAACACTGTTCTTCTAAACACAACTCATAATGTATTA